GTCAGTTCCAGTACAGTCATTAAGAGACTCACTGTGGGTCATTAAGCTCAACATCACATGACTGTGACTTGCAATTTCCTGCCAGCTTTCCTATTGACTTGTCAGAAGCTGGCTGTGACGGTAATAAATAGTGATCATGTGACTGCATGATGTTGCCAAACATCTGAATTGTGACGTCAGGGACACTTTTAACAGCTATAAGTTTGAGGACTGGTCATAAACCTTTTTCAGAGCTGTTTTAACGGTTCCACCACAAATGCGCGAATGACAAAAGTGCGCCTGACTAAACCGCGGTGACAAAACCGCGACGACAAATGAGCGCTGAAGCGCGCCGACAACAGCGCATCGACAGAAGCGCGCTNATAGTATAGTATAGTATAGTATAGTATAGTATAGTATAGTATAGTATAGTTAGTATAGTATAGTATAGTACAGTACAGTAATCGCTAACTTTTTTCTAAAGGTGTGCCAAAATCGTGTGCGGTATCGTGCACATGCGTACGTGGCCGCCCACCTGCGCATGTGTGCACAACAACTACCATCTGTTCAAAGTTACTATGGCACTGAAAAAAAGTGACTTATGACCGTTTTTCAAACTTGCAACCATTGCCACATCCCCATGGTGATGTGATCCAAATTCCAAGGCTTGGCAAATGATTCATATTTATGACAGTTGCCGTGTCCCAGGGTCATAGGATCACCTTTTGCGACCTTACAAAGTTAGTGGGGCCTGATTCGCTTAACAATGGCAGCAAGAAAGATTGTAAAGTGGGACAGAATTCACTTAACAACTGTTTCGCTTTGGGGCTTAATTGTGGTCGAAGGCTACCCATATGTATTGTAGGCCCCAAGAACAAAATGTTGAAACTCTGTTTTGGATGGTGAAAACAGATAAGAGTATTGATCACCCTGATACCAGAAGGGCAAGAATTCTTACCAATTGGGAGAACCATCCACAAGCTCAGCAACGTTACAAGAAAACATAAGCTGTGGTATAGTGTCATATAAATTGCAGTACAACTCCCGCTGTAAAAACTAAAATTCAGTTGTCAAAATTTGTTAAATTAAATAAATGTTCACATATCTAAAATAACAAGGCATAAAATAATTTCATGATTGTCTCAAATGGTTACATGTTTTGAGTATTGTAATAAAACAACCCTCCAATCTCTCAACTATGCAAAAGATTTTTTTTTAAAAAAAACGTGTATTTCTCCCCTTCCATTATCTTTTTTTCTTCATACCGTGTGCATAATAGCCAATCAAGCAAGAAAAAAAATCCAAGCAGCACCTGAGGCTGGGGATTGAAACTATTAAGTTGTCTTTCCTCTTGAAAGACTTGGAGGTGTCAGATACTAGGTGACAGGGTAAATAACATAAATTCAGCTCTTCAACTTTGATTGATTTAATTGATTGATTTATTACATTTATATGCCGCTCTTTTCCCCAAAGGGGACTCTGTCCATTCTGCCCAATATATTTGAAAAAACCTCAAGCAGGTGGAAAATGAATTTAAGAATTCATGGCCTCCTTTAGGTGTATTTTAAACTGCTTGCCAGTAGGTGTCGCTGTAGCAACAAAGTAGCACATGGTAGAAATGTGAGCCTGTATTCAACTGTACATTGGTGGATGGAACCTGAAATTACATCATGTAAGCCTTATAGATACATTTTCAGGTTACCTCCCATGTACAGTATATTCACAACATTGTGGGGAATTAAGATTTATTTTTCTTGCTACAGAGTTATCATGGAGGTTCATTTTCGATTTTATTTTACAACTAATTTGGGGGACACCTACGTAGCATCATTGCACTTTTACTCAAAGACAGAGCCCATTTAATCTCTTACACTTATAATTAAAGGTCTCTGTATTTCTCATTTTGTATAGTAATGGCAGACCTAACCCTCAAAACTAGTGATTTGGTTGGATTCAAATCTGGTACACATTTTCTCAAAAGTAGATTCCACTGAATTAAATTAGAGCAATCACCAAGTAAATAGACATAACCCAAGGCACACATTTAAGCCAATTGTGATCATCTAATTATTATTATATTATTCTTGAGGAGGTGGGTGACCTTGGATACTCCTAACATATAGGTTGGTTGGAATCACATTCTAAAGTTTGGATAAAGTTCAGTAAATTAAGAGTACTGTTTCACTAGCGCTATATAAGGTCTTTTTATAAAGTTAGTCTACTTAGTTTCATACTTCTAAACTAGCCTGATGTAACCAGATATTCTCTGGATGTATAGGATTTCAATTCCTATTATCACTAACTTTTGGCTTTGCTGTCTACTACATTGAGTGAGGTGGCTCTAGGATCATGGAAAGAATTGGGTTTTAGCATCCAAACGTGGTTGCTGTTGGAGAACTAAAAATTATGTCTCATACCCATGTGTGAACCAAGTTAGCATAGGAATACGCCGATAATCTTTTTACTCATGAAATCTGCATGGGTCAGTTTTAGATTAACAGAGCGGTGACATACAGATGATGCTCAGACTGTACATCTGGAATCGGGCAATTGCTATTAACATTCCTGTTTGAAGACTTACAGGGTGTGCTTTGTGAGCTTCCTGTTGCAATAACTATTTTAAAAAGGATTGTTGCAAAGAACAGCAGAGAAAAGGCAAATAGCAGAAGGGAGAGGAAATTGCACTGGGTATGTGTGTAAGCATGTGTGTATGTTTCTATAGGGGTAACAGATTGCATAACTGCAGAAGTGCAGGAAGTAAGAAATCTTACATACCATTTGGCTGGCAATTCTGAAAAACGTTTCCTTCAAAAACAATTGTATTAAAAACTATACAGTAATTGCAATAGTAGAAACTAATACGAACTAAAAGAAAGAAAATAGAGCAGAAAAAGTAAAAAGAGCAAAGGTGATTTCTATTTTGCTTATTCTGCAACTAGGGTCCAATAGATAGCGTCACCGGAGAAGCTGGCAGTAAAACACCAGATGTCTCACCTAACAATCAAATGGAAAGTGACATCTTAAGTCTACCACAGTCACATGATGTTTCGCTTAGCAACTGTGTTGCTGTGAACTCAGCTGGAATATACCTGATTGTCTGTCACAGAGTCTGCATTTCCATCCCTGCTCTGAATCATGCAGACGTTGGAGAAAATACTCTGGGCTTAAATCAGTGGTGGGTTTCAAAAATTGTTCGAACCTACTCTGTGGGTGTGGCCTCCTTTGTGGGAGTGGCTTGCCACCCATGTGACCGGATGGGAGTGGCTTGCTGCCCATGTGACCGGATATGAAGATGCCGACGACATTTGTCAGAATCACCTTAAATTACCTCACACACAGCAATGGCATGCATAAGAATATGATGTAAATTTGTTTTTTAAAAGGCATCTTTGGTTTGCGTTAAAACAACTTCAACACACGCAATGTTCTGATTGCACCACAAACGCAGTAGTCATCCTTATCTTTCACAGAGGCACTGAGTTTTATAAATATGAGCATGATAGTGTAGAATAATCATATCCAAGGACCAGTGGGGGGTTTCAAAAATTTTTGGAACCTCTTCTGTAGGTGTGGCCTGCTTTCCGGGTCCACTGGTGGAGCCTCTTCTAACCGGTTCGGTAGATTTGACGAACGGTTTCTACCGAATAGGTGCGAACTGGTAGGAACCCACCTCTGGCTTAAATTGAAGAATGAGATGACTGTCAATCCTCAGTCTCTGTTTTGGAGGCAGGCATGGTGCAGTTCTGCCCAGCTGAATACTAAACTTTATTCAGATCGTTTATTAGGTTGCTTAGTCTTCATAAGACTACATTATTGGGGGAAAGTAATAATAAAAGGGCCGTCTGGCATTTACAATAAAGATAGCATGTGTGCTTACTGCCATAGGCTCCTTATTACGCCATGCTTTTTTGACAACATTTGCTAGGAAGTGGTATAGCAGACTTGGACTAGGAAGAGCAGAATTCAAACAAGAAGATAACTACATGACTTTGGGAGCGTTATAAGAGGCATTGCACCCAAACATTTGGCATTTACTGTTGCTTAATGGGAGAAAAAAGTATATCTTCACTCAATTCAGGTCAAGGAACGCCTAACACGGGGGAGGGCCTTCTCTGTTGCAGCTCCGGCCCTCTGGAACGACCTCCCCGTTGAGATCCGGACCCTTACTACCCTCCCGGCCTTCCGTAAAGCTACTAAGTCCTGGCTGTTCCGGCAGGCCTGGGGCTGTTGATGTATCCAACCCCACTTTAAATTGTGAATGTTGTCACATTTTAATTTTTGTACTGTCTTATTTATCCCTTTCCCCTTTTTATTATAAGCCGCCCGGAGTCCTTCGGGAGCGGGCGGCATACAAGACCAATAAAACAAACAAACAAACAAACACGAACGCTGCTCTAAGATACAATTTTTCATTTCATGCTTATAGGATTAAAACCATATATATTTTCTACCTATAACTTCCTTTATTTTGTGTGTGTGCATGTCTGTGTGTCTGGCAGTTTAACAGCTAGATTTGGAATAAGGCAGGCTCAAAACCTCAGTTAGCCCTAATATTTCTGCCCGGAGACTTTTTATGCCATCTCTCTGGCCAACTTGCATGATAGTACATTGTGCCTAAAAAGATCTGGAAGGACACTCAGGAAGCAGTATCTCCACAAGGCAGTTTTTTGGAGGGTACTACAAGGTATCAGCAGACCAGTGGTGAAAGTAGGCCATGTATTGTAGAGATAATACCGCTACACGTGCCGGGGAGGTAGGTTTTTGGTCCAACAGTTACCATACTGACAATGGTTGTTTAAGCTTTCGAGGAGGTAGGATTTAGTGTGGACTCTAAAGACATAGAGAAAGTGGACACGCAGGGAAGGTGGTTTGAAAGGTCTTAAAAGATGGTTATATCAACAAGCAAGATGGTTTTCCCTGATGGTTTTCTTGAGTTGAGTACAGTTGTGTAGCTAGTTTGTGCTAGTTTGTACATCCATGCCGAAGATTCATTTTTGTTTGAATTTCTTAAAACTCTGTAGCTTGGTAGAGAATGGAAGACCTCCTGATCCGGCTGACTGGGCAGTCACAGATGTGGTGAATTATTTCAGAACAGTGGGCTTTGAAGAACAAGCAAATGCTTTTCAACAACAGGTAAATCTGTTTGCGCAAAGCTTTTTACTTTTAATTTCCAGCTTGGGAGATTTCAGAGTAGGTACCATTACAAGGATATTTTTGGCATTGCAAAGATACAGGTTCAAATCTCCTCTTAATAACATTGGGTCACCTTGGACCAGTTGTACTAAGACCAATGTACACCACAGGTTTGTTATGAGAGTAAAATGAAACACAAACACATACACACACCCTCTGCCTGTACTCTGAACTCATAAATGAAAAGAGCAACAATGCTTTTTTAATGTAAATAAAATAAACACTCAAGGAATGCAATTAAGAGTGAATAGGTGGCACTTTAAAATTGAGCTACATGGTAGAAAATGAGTATGGGAATGTCAATCACCTACACAATGTTACCAGAACAATGTCTGTACTCTTCCATTCCCTTGACAGACTTCCTTAGGTTGGCACCAACACATCTGAAATTAATGAAAGGGAGAAGGAGGCGGTGACAGGTTTTTCACTACATACAAATAGTCTTTGACTTACAATTGATCATTTAGTGACTGTTCAAAGTTATGACAGATTCCCCAGAGATACTTACAACTCAGTTTCAAAATCCTGTGGCCAAGTGACTGCGATATATGATGTTTTTGCTGAAAAACATTGTTTACCTCAATTTTTTGGCATGAAGGCACCATAGTGAATAATGGATTTAAAGATAGTGAATTTACTTAATGACTACCACAAAAACAATTCATTAAATTCAATTGGTCATGTGGATGATCTGCTTTATGACTGTCGTGACTTAGGACCATAATGTGCAGGCTCCATTATGGTTGTAAGTCAAGGACTACCTATAATTGCCACTAGGTGCTATGGCTGTCTGATGAAAAACTGCTAATTCAGCAGCACCTAGTTATTCCTCAGTACTCATTATTAACTGAGTGCTCTTTTTAAAATACCCTTCAGATTTTACTGCTTGAGAAACTCAGCAGGGAAAACAGCAGGATGAGTAATGGAACTGGCATCAGCTCCAAGGTTTGAAACAGGAACCTAAAGCCGTAAGGAAATTGTATATTTGATGCTGTGTGCTAAATGCCCATGTAGTTTGTCCATATTTTGGAAAGGATTCCTTTAACTCCTTGATAGGATGGTGGTAAGACCACTAACCATAAGGAAAATGGTGTTTTTAAGTACAGAAATGGGGAAAACATAAATTTCACAGACTATGAATACCGAGATTATTTTAAAAGAAGCAAAGATCCTTTTCATCTAGATAAATTGGGGTTCAAATGGGGCTGTTGTCCTGTGATACCAACTTTTCAAAGATAATGGATTGTAGATATTTCAACCAAACCTTCAGTTTTTAGATGTTTCATGTTTCCTTCTTTTCCTTTCTTGCATTTTACACATTATTACAGGAGTCACTTTTCTCTCGTATCATCTATTGCTGCTGCAGTAACATTTAAAAGGCTACTTTGGCATAATTGGAGTTGATAGCTTGAGTCATTCCACTTCCCAGATATTGGGAGGGTGGGACAGATGCAATGCAGATAAAAGATATAGGACCATCTTAATTTATTTGAGAACAACACACATGCGCGCTCACAAACACACACCAGACAGTCCTGATCCCACCAAATCATGGCCTTCATTTTTTGGCTTTGTGATCCGTTCCAGGCATACGATGCTAATATTTCATCATCTTCTGCAGTGCTGGATTAAAACAAATCATTGAAAATCATGCTTGCTAATGCCTGCACTCTCCCCATTTTGCACTTGTGAGTATCTTACTTTCAGTTCAGTTCAATCCCTGATTGTTTTAGCATATCATAAATTGAAAGGAGTTCAGCAGCTGATATTGCGTTAACCGTATTTTTCAAACTATAAAACGCTCCGGACTGTAAGACGCACCTAGATTTTGAGGAGGAAAACAAGAAAAAAAATCTGCCTCTCCATCCGGTATTCATGTGACCCATTTGCCATGGCCCGTTTGCCGCAACCCATTCACCACTTTCCGTCGCCGCACATTCACTGCAGCCCATTTGCTGCCACCTATTCTCCACCGCCACCTGTTCACCACCACTCATTCGCCGCTGAGGCCTATTCTAGAACAACTGATGGGCACCACACCACCACCCCCCACCACAATATTCACTCTATAAGACGTACAGGCATTTCCACCCCCTCACAGACATTTCCACCCACTTGGGGGAGTGCATCTTATACTCTGAAAAATACGGTAAAGATTATCACCGAAACTTATGTTAAAAGACATCGTTTGTGTAAAGTACAGCTTTTTAAAAACATCTTTGCACGGCTTTTTAAAATAACACTTTTATGTTATTTATTACGTTTCTAATCCACCCTTTGTGCAGGAGCTCAGGGTAGCATACATACTGTTCCTACCTTCTGTTTTTTCTCCACAATACCCCTGTCAATTAGATTAGACAGATAGAGAGTGACTGGTCGAAAGGCAGCCAGTAAGTTGCCATGGCTGAAATTGGACTAGAATCTGGGACTCCTTGTCGAACTCATCTCACCTGGCCAAGCAGGAGGTTCATGTTGCAGACTTCATTAGTTACATAACTTTAACGATCGAGGTCTATAGAGAACGTTGTCCCAATAGGTGAGGCTGGCTCTCACTTTGCTGGGTTTGCTGAACTAAGGCTTGGCTCTCTCAGTTAGCAGGAAGATCCACACAGGGGGTTGTCTTTTAAACTGTGTTTATTTTTGTATGGATTTTTATGTGAATTTTATTATTTTTTACTTCTAAATACCTTCATCACTCTACTACCCTGACTCTGTTTGAGGATTTTCTTTTGTAAAACAGGTCAGATGTTTACTGCCCAGAATTACGTTATTGGGGTTGAGCGTATTTAGTGCACTCTCTTGCAGTAATTAAATCAATCGTTGCCTTCTGTGATTGATTTAAAAATCCATTTTAATAAAGTGTTTCTTCCTATATTAGAATCTTTTGAAAATTATAATATCCATGTTTAATTTTTTTTTAAAAAACTCTTCTGACTGATTAAATTTCAACTGACAAAACTTAGAACATACTGTGTTTCCCCGAAAATAAGACAGGGTCTTATTTTCTTTTGACCCCCAAAATAAGTGCTTGGCCTTATTTTCAGGAAGGTCTTATTATTTTTGAAGTGCAGGAGGCAGCGAGCATGGTCACCTCATGGCTGCTGTTGTGTTACAATATTTTTGAGGAGGGCTAATTTTCAGGGCAGGGCTTATTTTAGCCCATCCACTCAAAAGCCCAATTGGGCTTATTATCTGGGGAAGTCTTATTTTCAGGGAAACAGGGTAGTATTCGTAGAACTGAAGAAGCTTCTTGGATGAGAAGCAAAATATTTTCAAGGGAAAAAACTCAAGAAAATCCAGTTGCCTTTGATAAAAACATCTTTGGGACAACCATGACTTGGATGATTGAGTATCTCCATAGACAGGACATCACAGAATTCTTGCAATGTTTGGCTATTATAGTTACAAAAAACCTGGAGACCATTATGTACCTTTAGGAGTGACAGTATACATGTGTAGGCACTGCTGATCTGCCCTCCACTAAGCTGGTTAAAGTAAATATCTCTGACGAAACATACACATTCCTCTAGAAACAAACTTGGAAAGCATGACACTCATCTTCCTAAAACAGCACTTGAAAGAGGCTATCTAGGAAATGGGATCAAGAGATGTAAATTCAGGATATTTATTTAAAACTGCACATGCACTTAATTATTTTCTTCAAATGTCATTTAATGTTTAAATTCACAGGCAGATAAAGTTACACATTCACATATAAAGGAAAAATCAGGAAACGGAACAGGGTTTTTTTATACACAAAATGGAAACATAAGCCAATAATAAAAAAGGCAAAAACTATATATATATATATATACACATATACCTGAAATATTCCTTTCAGTTAAAATCTGTGCCCCATTCAACTCCAAGTTTTCGTGCCAGTGTAAAAAAGAGACTATGGAGATTAAATTTCAAATTTTGATTAAAATTACCTATAGATGTGCTGTTCACTAAAACTGCCAAGTCAGTTGCCAGAATGCTGTACCTCTGCTTGATATTTACAGTTTTGTAGGTTTTGGTAATAAGCTGGGATGAGTTTGTGAAATAATATGAATAGTTTCATGTCTTGTATTTGATTTGCATGTAGGATAAATTAAAGCCACCCCAGAGCCAATGGGGCTGCAGTATGCAAATGAACAAAATCTAACGGTTATTTAGCTTATCTAGTGATGATGTCACAATCAGGGGACTGTTTGAATAATTTTGAAATCAACAGTTTTCTTCTCTGTAGCCGATTGGTTATTACCCCAGTTAAGATTACCAAAAGCCCTGACATGATACTGCATGTAGAAATACCACATATTTAACAGTATTATGGGTCAGGGATTTCTGAGTGTATGTTTCTTTTGTTTGCTTTCAAATGAATTTTACACTTCAACTGTGAGACTGACAGAGCTCCAAAAAGGCCTCTAAACCTTGTTCAGTTACTTGTCTCAGACCAGCCTGTTGTTATCAACATTTGAAGAAGATGGTAAATTATTATGAGGTTTTAGGAGTATCAAGAAGTGCATCTGCAGATGATATTAAAAAGGCCTACCGACAGTTGGCCTTAAAAGTACATCCTGATAAGAATCCAGGAAACCAAGAAGCAGCTGAGAAGAAATTTGTAGAAATCTCTAAAGCGTATGAAGTCTTGTCTGATACTAAAAAACGGGATGCCTACGACCAATCCAGCAAAAAGAAGTTAAATGAAAACAAACCTGCAGGAGGGCACGGTAGGGTTGGAAATGTGCCGAGGAGTGGCCATGGGGACAAAGGGTGTGGGAGAAGACAGGTGGACCCTGAATTCAGCTTCTTTGCACCACAGCTGAACGTACAGATGGGTATGGATTCCTTTTCTCAAGATATATTTGACAATCTGTTTGAAGACTTTTCTGGGCTTCAGCTAAATCCCCGCAGAAGTAGATGCAAAATTGACAGGAGCTTTTCGGTTTCTATCA